GAAGACAAAACAAGTCTATAAGACCCAAAATGTTGTTGTTGTTGTTAAGTACCGTCGAGTCATTTCCGACTCATAGTGACCCCACGCACAGCAGAACGAAACACTGCCCGATCCCGCGCCAGCCCCACAATCCCTGCTATACTTGATCCCATCATCGCAGCCACCGTATCAATCCATCTTTAAATCATAGTGTACTAAATAAATAGTAGTTTTATGATTTTTTTTTTCATCTCCCTATGTTTATAAGAAAGGAGCTCTGGTGCCACAGTGGTTAATGCTCAGCTGCTAGCCAAAAAGGTTGGCAGTTCAAACCCACCAGCCATTCATGGGAGAAAGGTGTGGTAGTGTGCTTCCATAAATATTTATAGCCTTAGAAACCCTATGGGAAAGTTCTATTCAGTCCTAGGGTAGCTATGAGTTGGAATCAACTCCATGGCAATGGGTTTGTTTTTTTATGGTGATAAAGAGCCCTGGTGGTGCAATGGTTAAGTGTTTGGCTGCTAATTGAAAAGTTGGCACTTTGACCCTCCTACCAGCTCCGTGGAGAAAGAGTTGGTGATCTGCTCTCATAAAGATTAAACAGATTTTGGTCCCATAAAGATCAAACAGCCTAGAAAAACTTATGCGGGCAATTCTACTCTGTCACATGGGTTATGAGTCGGAAGCACCTACAATAAGATACACACATTTATAACCAAGAATAAAAAGTATTTTCAAAGTTCTGACAAAAATTGTAAAAATGTAAAGGTCATGGAACAATCATAATTTTCCCCATTTACTTACATCTTTATTTTCCCAGTCTGTACTACCATCTCTGTATTTAAGATTAACCTTTACTTACAAAATAATGCAGCTGTTTATACACTGTTTAAAAAAAAAAAAAGAAATACTTTTTGAAAAGGCTACAATAATAAACTTTCAAAATTTATGGATAAATTTTTAACTCAGTTTTAAATTGTTCAGGGGCTATAAAGATGGGAAAGAATCGAGAATCTGAAAAAGAATCAAGAATGTAAAAAAGTCTAGAATCTAAATGTGTTAAGCTCTGCAGGGACTCTATGGTGAGGACAAACTGCACAGTCAGCTGATGACCACTTATCCCTTCTGACCAGAGACTGAGTACTCAGTCTGTCTGGTCATTAAAGGCAGCTTTGCCTTTCCAGAACCCAAGTAATGATGGAATAAGGAATATCACGTTAAAAAAAAAAGCGTATTTCATCGAAATGCTTGCTATGAAAATCCTATGTAAAAATATTTCCTATGTAATCTAAGAAATGTTAACAAAATGATTACTTTGTACAACTCATTTTTACTTTTTAAAAGAAATAGCCACATAAATCAGTTTCTATAGGACAAACATTAACCATAACTCATTTACTAATCAGCCTTCTTAATGTTTGACATTACTGTGAATATTTACTTCCTGCTAAGAAAAGCCAAGTATGACATGAAACCTTCAACTCTTCTAAAACTCTTCTAAGAACTGCAATACATTCCTAGGCTAAGGAAAAACATACTTTCTGATGTTTTTAATATGTTTCACAATAAACTGGCAGAAGACACTTAGGTATCTACAGTCATCTATAAGTTCTGAAGCAGCTACAATGAAAGTAGTTTCTTCTATAATCAAAGGAAGTGTGTATTCTAATTTAAAATTATGTGAGAACTGAAAAAATAAGAAAATGTCTCTTCTAAGCTATTAAGCAAGAGAGCACAGAAAAAATAAATTAGGTCCACAATTTCCTATTTTAAGTTTATTAGGATGAACTAAATAAAATATTTGGTTAAGTTTATTCAACTAGAAGTTTGGTGTATAAAATAATTAAAACAATTACTATTTATTGTATAAACTTTGTTTAGCTTATAAGTGAAATATTTCAGGTTATTTTATCTTTACTAAAAAATGTAATAAACTAATATGACCCTTCAAAATTTCTATCTTCAGAAGTTACATTTACCCAACACAGCTGAACAAACGGAATGTTTCCTTAGCATGTGAATTCAGAGCCTGTTTATAAACCATCTTAGAAAAATAGGCCCTTTACTTTATAATCACTCCTTTTAGGTACCATATATAACATTCCTCAGTATGACTACTGTGGTAGTTTAGGTTGCATGTCATCTTGGCTGGCCTGGGTTTTATGTGGCTGGACAGCTAGATTTGTTATTTCCCATGATGAGACTGGTAATCAATTCTATGGTGGAATCTACTGTAAGCAGCTGAGTAGCTAGCTGCCTTAGGGATGTGATCTGCTTCTAGTATATAAGCAGCAGCTTGGAGGAAGGTCTCTAGCTTTTGGCATATCTGGATTCTGCGCTTGGAAAAATCTTCATATCTCAATGGCCTGCCATGTTGTCTGTTGATCTTAGGATTGTTTCTGGACTCGAACTAGTGGCTGGCCATGTTGCTTGATAATTCTGGGGCTGTGCCATTACTTGTTGACCTTGGGTTTGTCAGCCTCAGCACCCAGCAGCTATCTAAAAAACGCCTCCAGCTTCAGTGGGCTGGGAGCAAGAGGCAGAGCTGAAGCCCGAAGTCTAGGGGCCTTTACCCAGACCCTTGAGCTAGCACTTTACGCTCAGACTTCTAACCTCCGAACTCTAAGAAAATAAATCCCCATTTATGTTAAAGCCATCTATTTGTGGTACGTCTGTTATAGAAGTACTAGAGAATCGAAATTAAGTCTAATATCAAATCATCAAATTGTACCAATACTGGGGAGGATATTTAAAAGAACACGCAATGAGCTCTTTAGACAACAACGAAAAAAATATTCCAAAAATATTTTCAGAGACAGCATCAAGTTGAAGTAGAGTTTCCCAAGGTGATTACTTCAAGGAGGACACTCATTTTGATGTATTAAATTTTAGTAAAATAGTTTCTAAAGCAACCATTCATTTCCAGTCATTCTTCCCACATTGTGGCTTAGTCGAGCTCAACATACATGACTGAGATGTTGAAATGGAATTGACTGATTGTGAGAAATACTGGATGTAGCAGACATTTGCTTCAGCCTGCCACTCTTTGGGTAAGAACATCCCCAGTGTCCTTTGGGGGATCTATTACTCCTGTTCTTCAGACCATGCATACTTCAGCTGTGGCTTCAGAACGTAGGAAAGGAGGCTGTTGTCCAAACCAGGCCAATGAATATAATTATTCCACCCTCAGCTACAGTGGCTAGTCCATGAGATGGTTATGTGATCTAAGTCTGACAGGGAGACAAAATGCTGGTACTTCTTTAAGAAGCAGCTCTCTTTACATTTGGGGTTGTTGAGCAAATGGGTAGTAAAGGAGGCCATCTTGCTTTAGGGAGAACTAACACAAAGGGAGGCAGAGCCGAGAGATGGGGAAGAGAGTTTTGACAACGTCTTCAGAGCCTCTACATATAGCCCTAAGTAAATAAATTCCTTTTTTGCTTAAGCTAGTTCAAGATGGGTTTTTGTCATCTGCAATAAAAACAGTCCTGCATAATATATTGGTTTATTTAATTTTGATAAATAATCAATCATTGCTTTTGTGTTAAATCAACAAAATTAGTTAAGTACAAACTGTTATGAAATATTCTCTGTGTATTCCATCAAATAACACATTAATGGCAATGGGAAAATCATCTCCAACCAGTGGCTTTAAGTCAGTTATGATTTCAAGTCCACTTCATAAGTGCTGCTGTATTTGAAAATTGAGAGTCTTAGTTTAAAATCAATGAAGAGCATTCCCTAACTCAAACTAACCTAAAATAAGACAAATAGTTGATGCAAATTGCCAGGATATCCCAAGGTAAAGATAGTTTTAGTTTTACTGTCAGTGAAAGCTGTGTTTTAATAAGTCAAAAGCCAAACTTCCTCCCAAACATGCCCTTTGGGTTTCTGGGATACTAAGTAAGGGAGTGAGAAAGAACAAATTTTTCTTTTTCTTGGTCTTAGAATATTGCCCTCTTTCCTGGATAGAATTTGATTAAAAATTCAAGGGTTTTAAAAGATATTTAATACACTAATTTATGTACAGAAATCATATTAATTTATACATTAGAGGCAGACAGCACATAGAAAGAGGCATCTTATCTGCTCAGTCACCATTTGCAGATGCACAAGTGCTCATACAGCCCAGCCTACAGTTTCCATTCTGAAGGGCCAGAAGACTCATTCAGTCTGATCAAAAGCTCAGATCACAGCAAAGAAATCAAGCCTTACGAATTATTTCCCTGTAGCACAACTAATGGAAAAATTCAGTGAAAAGCCAGTCTGCTGATTCCTCTATATAGATCTACTCTAAAAGCACTACAGGTCAGTAGTACAAGAAAAAAGAAAAGGAAAAGGAAAAAAAAAAAAAGATTGCAAAGAAGCAAAATTGCAGCTAGACAACACTGTTTTGCAATGGTAAGCTTCCAAGTCAGTAAGTAAATTACAACTGCTTTTGATTTCCAAAGGGTAGCCTGTGGTTTAACACAGCTCTAAACAGAAACCAGATCACACAAACCCTGCCATCTGAGATGTGGTTCTCCAGTTGAAAATGGATTTTTTAATAACTCTTAGAAACAAGATCATGTGTGTCTAGGGGAGGGGAGTTTTGTAAAACCCATCACTCTTTCCTTTCCCTCTTAAAATAAGTTCAATTAAAGTAGAGGGCAATTCTATTTAAAGAATAAGATCAGCTATATTAGCATAGTGCCTAAAGCACTTGACTGCTCACCAGAAGGCTGGCGGTTCAAACCCACCAGCCACTCCTTGGAAGGAAGGTTGGGCAATCGTACTTCCATAGCGATACTGCCTCGGAAACCCAAGGAGGGGTCGCTATGAGTCGGGGCCGACTCAACGGCAAACAACAACAACAACAACATATGAAACAGCAAAAAGCTGAAAACAGGCTTTCAACTTATGTCAATGGACCTCTAAACACATACTTTTAGATCTGTGCCAGACGATTTTGTGGATTTCTCATTGTGTTTAAAATCTTGACATAAATCTCCCTATGTTACTTAGATAGATATTGTAAAGCAAGAATATTAAGGAAAATACTATTACGTACCTTCAAAGTTTTATTACTAGCTCAATTCTGTAATTTAATTGACATTAGATGTACTAACAGATCTTTTGGTTGCCCCCTAACCTAAAGGGAAGAGAATGCAAGATACAGGTAAATGAGCATGAGGATCTTCTTTCTGAGTGAATCTTGACCCAAACAAATTAAAACCCATAAGCCATAGGCTTCTTGTTATTGTTATGTTGTTATGTTGTTGTTATGGTAAAACCAACAGCATAGTGCCTAAAGCACTTGACTGCTAACCAGAAGGCTGGTGGTTCAAACCTACCAGCCACTCCTCGGAAGGAAGATGGGGCAATCTACTCCTGTAGTGATACTGCCTCGGAAACCCAAAGAGGGGTCGCTGTGAGTCTGGTCCGACTCGACGGGACATAACAACAACAAGAAGCCTATGGCTTATGGGTTGGCACTTCAGAGTTAGATTTGGGGACAAGGCCTGGTATTAACAGCAAATCGTAAACTATAAATTAAGATTTTACAGTTTGTCAAAACAAACAAGTAAACGTGGCATTCATTAATCATATTAATTCAAACAAATCTAATGTGTTCTTAATTATGCCAGCCTATTTCATTCACAATTAGTACGAAGAGTTATCCTAAATATTTTAAAGTACTGTGTAAGGTAAAAGAACTTTTTCTAAATACACATACCTTCCCCATTTATAACTTTGGCCTCTGTTTTGCTTTTCCGAGTTGCAACATACAAGATCATCAAGTCTCTTTCTCCCTGGAAAGACTTCCTGTAGTAGGGCTTTTTGAATTCAGAAGAAACTTTGAAACCAATACATAAAGGCTGACTTCTCATACCACTGTCTTCAACATCATGCAGGTTTTACAAAAAAGAAAAAGCCCACAAGCACACACTAACTATTTACTCACAACACTGCCTAACCTTTCACCCTCCTTGAGGCTGTGCACTATACTTACCACTTTCTCTTTGGACCGCAGGACTCCCAGCTTCCCAAACCGTACATGGAAAGGTGAGCACTGATAGGTGCCATCCTGCTGGCGGACCACAATCACATCAATGCAGCCGGACAGAGTGGCCTGGTTAATGCCCTTGTACAGTTCCTTCACAGTGACTATCACTTGCCCAGCCAGCTGTCCCACATAATTCATGGTTTGAGACTACAACAGACAAAGAAAAGAAAATGAGGTATTAACAACTGAACTCATGGATCTAATAACAACAACAGAGAAACAACAAGCAGTGATTAAAAATGTATCATTCATTTGTGTACCGGATTTCATAGTTATTAACTTTGCTAATTTTGAACCCATTAGTCTATATTACCACTGTTTTTATACATTTTAATTCATGGACAATCCCAGATTGTCTTTTTTCTGTACTTTGAAAGCCTGTCCCACTGGGTCCTTTAATTTCCTCCAAAGTTTAAAACCGGCACAGAACCATCAAAGAACCCAGATCACTACTACTCCCTCCTGCCAAAGACCTGAACCTGTCTACTTTGTTTACTCTGGCCAAAGGAGCCAAAGCAGTAAAAATGAAGACCATTCCCAGCAGAAACTTGAAATTCATCTCCCAATAGTAACAATGTAATCAATGAGAGCTGAGTTCTCTACAGAACTATCAATAGGATATTATGGCTCAGATGCATGTGAGCCAGCCTGGGAATGCCATTGATGCTTTAACACAACTCACTGGCACATATATTCATGTTCCACAAAGTTCAAAGCCCAGGAAAGGGTTGCAACTGTGTTGCCCAACTTCGATTCACTATTCAAATCAGGATCACCAGGGATCAGAAAAGGATCCTTCAGAAAGGATCAAAGGAGAGGAGGAGCACATTCAACCAGGGTTGTGGGGACCATGGCTTCTGAGAAAATGCTTCCCTGACCCCCTAACCCTTTGTGGCTGTAGCTAGTGCTAGCTTTACCTGTTGATAGGATGAGGGACCCACCATGTAGTATTGCTTTGAGGGCCAGCGGCGAAGTTTCCTTGCCACCCTCCCACTCCATGCAACTTTTCCATTAACCAAAACTTTGGTTCCACTGGGTGTTCAATATTCCATTGGATGGTTGCCTGTGTACTCATTTGTGAAGGAAGAAAGCTAACACTAACAGAAATACACTGTCAAATATGTGGCTAAAGCCATACTTACTTTTCTCCTGCTCTCACCCTCTCCTGAACTCCTAGCTACCACTAATCAATCTGTTCTATATCCTTAATTTTGTTATTTCAAGAAAGTGATATAAATCAAACAATACAGTATGTAACTTTTGGGACTGTCTTTTTTAATTTAGTATAATTCTACGGCAATTCATTCAAGTTGTATCCACAGTTCATTTCTTATGGTCTCTGGGTGGCAAAAATAGTTTGTGTTACACTACTAACTGGAATGTTGGAGTTTCGAGCCTACCCAGAGGCACTGTGGAAGAAACGCCTGGTGGTCTGCTTCCATAAAGGTTACTGTTGTGTGCCATCAGGCCAATTCCAACTCATAACAAATGAATTGGAGTAGAACTGACCCACAGGGCTTCCTACGCTGAAATCTTTATGGGAGAAGATTGCCAGGTCTTGTCACCTGTGGAGCACCTAGTGGATATGAACCACCGACCTCTGGTTAGTAGGTGAGTACTCCATGAAAACACTATAGAGTAGTTCTACTATTGAGTAAAACACATGGGGTTGCCATCAGTTGGAACTGACTTGACAGCAAGAGGTTTGGTTCTTTTGGAGTATGCCATGGGATGGATGTACCATTCACCTGTTAAGGGACAGCTAGGTTGCTTCCAGTTTTTGGCTATCACAAATAAAGCTTCTATATAAACATTCAAGTATAGGGTTTTCGGTGAAAGCAAGTTTTCACTTCATTGGGATAAATGCTCAGGAGTGAGATTGTTAGGTTGAATTAGAGTTGTAGGTTTAGCTTTTTTAGACACTGCCAAACTGTTTTCCAGAGAGCTGTACCCCTAAGGCACTTGACTACTAACCAGAAGGCTGGCGTTTCAAATCCACCAGCCACTCCTCGGAAGGAAGATGGGGCAATCTACTTCCGTAGTGATACTGCCTCAGAAACCCAAGGAAGGGTTGCTATGAGTCGGGTCAGATTCCATGGCAAATAACAACAACACACAAGGAAAACCAGTTAAAACAACTGTAATTTAAATTTATGCACCAGCCACTAATGCCAAAGATGAAGAAACTGAAGATTTTTCACCATCTTCTGCAGTCTGAAAATTAATCAAAAATGCAATCAAGATGTACTGATAATTACCAGTAATTAGAATGTGAAGGTCAGAAACAAAAATGAGGGAAGAGTACTTGGAAAATATGGCCTTGGTGATGCAAACAATGCTAGAGATCACATGACAGAATTTTGCCAAGATCAATGATTTATTCATTGCAAATACTTTTCCTCAGCAATATAAATGGCAACTATACATGTGGACCTCACCAGATGGAATACACAGATATCAAACAGACTCCCGTGGAAAGAGACGTTGGAGAAGTTCAGTATCAGAAGAATGCCAGGTGCCAACTGTGGAACAGACCATGAATTACTCATATGCAAGCTGAAGCTGAAGAAAATTAAAACAAGTCCATGACAGCATGACCTTAAGTATGTATCTCAGCTGACCATTTCAATAGTACATTTTACTAACTGGACTCTAATGACCAAGACCAGTCAAGTTGTGGGATGGCATTAAGGACATCATATGTAAAAGCAAAAGGTCATTAAAAAGAAAGGAAAGACCAAAAAGGATGTCAGAAAAGACCCTAAAACTTGCTCTTGAATGGAGAGTAGCTAAAGTGAATGGAAGAAATGATGTAAAAGAAATGAACAGAAAATTTCAAAGGGTGGCCCTAGAAGACAAAGTATTACAATGAAACGTTCAATGACCTGGAGTTAGAAAACCAAAAGGAAAGAACACGCTTGGCATTTCTCAAGCTGAAAAAACTGAACAAAAAGAAGCCTCAAGTTGCAATACTGAAGGATTCGATATGCAAAATACTGAATGACACAGGAAACATCAAAAGAAGATGGAAGGATTATAGTCACTGTTACCAGAAAACACTTGGTTGGTGCTCAACCATTTCAGAAGGGAGCATATGATTAAGAACGAATGGTCATAAAGGAAGAACTTTAAGCTGTGTTGAAGGAACTGGCGAAAAACAAGGCTCTAGAAATTGACAGAATACCAAATATTTTTTTATTTTTGAGATGTTTCAATAAATGGAAACAAAGCTGGAAGTGCTCACTCATCTAGGCCAATAAACTTGGAAGACAGCTAGCTACCTGACCAACTAAACTAGAAGATCCGTATTTGTGTCCATTCCAAAGAAAGATGACCCAAAAGAATGTGGAAATTATAATACAGTATCATTAATATAACACACACAAGTAATATTTTGTTGTTGTTGTTTGCCGTGGAGTCAGACCCAACTCATAGTGACCCCTCCCTTCCCTGGGTTTCCGAGGTGGTATCACTATGGAAGTAGATTGCCCAACCTTCCTTCTGAGGAGTGGCTGGTGGGTTTGAACCGCTAGCCTTCTGGTTAGTAGTCAAATGCCTTAGGCACTGTGCCACAAAACTGACTGCCTTCCGTAATGCCAGGCTCCACCCTCAGTCCTCATAAATAAAGATAACAACAGAGATAAAGATAAATAATGTCTTAATTTATATAAGACCTGTGATAATGCTATTTTGCTGACTTTTAAGGAGACTAGGAAAAGGGGGAAAAACGTGGTTGTGCTAGCCAAGGATGGCTTTGGGAAGAAGGAAATATTTGTTCCAGGAGTTAAGAAAGGAAGTTCAGGGTGGGCGATCACAGGCAGAGAAACAGCCTATGCAAAGGCACCAAGATGTGAACGGTTTGCTGAGTCTGAGAAGCAAAGGTGAGATCAAAGGCATTGGACACAAGCATGATTCTGAGGGACATCTGGGTTTAGGAACTACTTCCAGACTCTATCCTGTGGGCAACAGAGAGAAGCAATCAGTGGTTCTAGTTGGGGAAATGACATGATCTAAACAGGAGGCTAAAAGCAGAGAGTGAGTTTCTTCTGAAATGAAACCGTAACAAATTCAAGCCAGAGACCATACAGCTGTAAGGTGGAAGAGAGATACAAAGGGGACTGAGACTCAGGAAGGCTTGGTGATTGACTGAAGGTGACGTTAAGGGAAAGGAAGTAGACCATGGCAGTTTCCAGACAGAGCTAAGATTAAGGCTGGCACACAGCTGGGATTTAGTAATTATTGTTGAATGAATGAGTGAAAAAATGACCCAATTTAGATATGGCAATAAAAGGAGAATTGGCAGGAAATTTCCTATCAAGGTTGAACTTAAAGAACTTTACTTACTACACTGGTTCAAAATTTTGCATGCATGAATATCATGCTTGTCTTTTTTTTAAAAAAAAGGTATATGAACTGATTATGAAGATGAGTGAGGACAGGGAAGCCCAGCAAGAGCCTCACTGATAAAATTTCCACGCCTCTTCTTCCTACTTCAAAAATCAATTTGTAATAAAATTGACTAAAGACGGCTTAAAGCCTTGGGCGGCTGTCTCCCGTCTGTCTTCAGAGAAGATATATGGAGTTCTGGAAATCTTTCTCAGATAGCATCTGGTACTTAAAGCACTCCTTCCTGAGATAATCAGATGAGGTATCCTTTGGTGAATTTGGGGTTCTAGCCAATTCCCTGTAGAAAATGAGCTCTGCCCTTCTAAAAAGAAGCAACCCATCACCTCACTGCTGAAATGGGAGTCAAAAACTTTTTTTTTAATGTCTAATCAACTTCTTTTCCTGAGAAGTGGAGAGAACTAGGAAGGACTATACTTTAGGTCAGTATGTCTCAAAGACTGGTCCTCTCACTATCTGCAACAAAATAAAGTTTTGGTATTAAGAATACAGGCTGCTGGGCCCCAACCCAGACCTTATTTAAGAAAATGAGAGGTGGAGTCTGAAGAATTTGTTGCCCATGATTCCGATGGACATCCAGGTTTAGGAACTACTTCTAGACTCTATTGGAAGAAACTTCTCCTCCCAAACTTGCTGAGAAGGCCAAGTTGTTATTGGCTGAGGTATGTCTATTACTTTGATGTCTGCTACAAACTTGACAGCCCTTAAATTTTAGACATTTTAATGAACAAATGGCTGACCTGATC